AAGTATTCGAATCGTTGTTACCTAAATTATTATGATATGTTAAGTGACAATCTAGAGATTAAACCGGTAATAACATTTGGTTTATTGCGTGGTTTGAGTGATATCAAAAACTTGCAATAACAGTGCGTTTGTACAGGGATTCAGGGATCCAACTAATCCGTTCATTTACTTGACACATGGGATCAGAAAATTATATTCACGCTCTTAATAAAAAAAATGCAATTTTCATTACGTACAACGCGACGTAAACACTTTCTGTAGCACACCAAAATAACTCAGACAAAGCTAGCAATTTCATAAGAACGATAAAAACATAACCACTAAAAATACTCTCCCAAAGCTCAAAAACAAAGACGGGGAGAGATTTAGAGTGAATTTTAATAAAACAATCTGCACCGGCTCATTGGGTCTGTTGTCTCAGGCAGCTGCCGGCGACCGATAAGGCGCCCTAAACTGCTTCTCTTAAATTGATTTTGGACACTACACCGTAAAATGCGAAAGTTTATGTTTACTCAAAGGGAAGAGTGACAAATATTGGGCTAAGATACTAACTGTGACATAGTGAGGGCTGTTTTTTCAATCGACAGATAAGTTTTTGTTGCAGTAAGTTTGTCTTTGATTTCTATAAAGGAAATGATGCCAAAATGTCAATAAGTTAGTTAATTAGTTGAAAGGTATCCATGATTGAAATAACATCCTTAAAACGTAGCTATTGGCAATAAATGTTTCTTTCTTTCTTTCTATTCTAATTATGAAGTTGAGTTAAAATATGATGCTAAAATCTTATTAAAAATAAGTACATGAACGCTTAGGAACTTAGTCCGTTTCTGATAAGTTCAGTGAATCTGAATAACGTTGTTATACCTTTTTTATATTCGTGTTTAAAAAAATTAACATTTAGGTACATAAAAACGTACAAAATTAGTTTTATAACTCTTCATAAATATAACCTCAATTTTATATCGTACCTATATGTAAACTCTTCTTTTAAAACATCAAAAGGTTTTATTTTCATTGAGAATTCAATTCACATTACGAAATATTTTGTTATTCTTAAAAATACGAGCTTATAGTATTTTTCAGCCAGTATCTAAATTGAGATACCAAACTTTTTTGTTTAATTGGCGGTTTTTTATATCATTCATAAATGGAACTGCGTTTTTTTTTTCAAACACGTCGGAGGTTTTCTTTTCAGCCAGTACAAACAGGCCATTGTAATAAGACAAGTCTAAGGACGACACTCGTCGGCAGACACGAGGTGAGAAGCGGCCGGTCCCCCCTTACCACTTACGCATCCCAGAACATTGAGCCACTAACGCTTTTAGTTTTAGCTTTAAGATCGGTAATATTGTTTTTAGTACGAATACGACTCTACAATATAGATGGAACTTAATACCAATGGATTTATTTCTTTCATATTGTAATAGCTTTTCACATTTATGTCATTTTTGCCGTCTAAAAGTATTTCATATAATCTTATGATTTATAAACAATTTTTTAGTCTATCAGCAAGTAATTAAGGGTAATGGTTAGACAGGCACGCAAGTAATTTCATCGTGTTTTCAAATTGACGGAGCCCTAAAATGACAATACAATACATCAACATTTAAACACCCATTCCCAATAACAACTAAGTGGGAGAATGATTAATGTGAAAACTTGTCAATGTCACCGGCGTATCCAAAACACGGTCGCTTCACACATCCAAGAGGAAAAGTCATCGGGGAAATTCGTGGGGTGCGTCGCACGGCGTGTTTTCACTCCGTTCAGTACCGCTTTCGCTTACGCCGCGAGAGGGCGCTGCCGGCGCGCCACCGCGACCACGTGACTTGTTGATTTCACCCCCCCCCGAAAAACAAAACATGCGCGATCCGACCTAACCCATGACATAAACTTTCTGTCATGAATATCACGAAACCTCTCTACAACCACGCGCGACTGTTCATGCTTCTGAGTTTCGCGCTCGCCGTTTTTCTCGCTGGAATCCTTTTGCGAACGAAGGCCAAACAACTGACGGACAAAATCCGCAACGAGCCGATGACAAATGCCACCTCGGAGCCGGCGAAAACGCAACGCAAAGAGTACTTGTACCGCCTCCTGACTAATACCACACGTTCGCTCATACAGATGGAAATAAAGGCAAGGCGGCTCGAGGAAAATATGCGAAGGATTAAAGAGAAGACCGCAGATTTGTTGTGGAAGAACAAGGACAAAGCTCTGTGGCATATACTGTTTAAGAACATCAGTCATATTTCTTTACGACACGAATTTCACCAGCACGCAAGTTTGCGAAGAATTATGCTGGACACACACAAACACGGCCACAAACTGGGGCGAAGAAAAGTTTTCTTACGATAGACATGTTTACCGTTCGCTAGGTTAAGAAATTTTAATAAGACATTTGTGTATAGTTTAGTTTTCTGGACTGACAATAAACGTATGTTAAGAACAATCATCGAGTTGCCGTACATTTCAGTTGGGACACGTAAGTATTACTTGATATAATTTTATAATGGACGGTAATGAATGACACATCAAGCTTCTAAATATTGCAACTGTGTACGAATTATAATAATTCTAATTGATTGTTTACAATACGCCCTCAGAACTCAGAAACATGATTACTACATCGAAAGTCAAGTCAATTCTATGAAACGCTAACAATGTTTGATAAAATAACATGAATTTATCCAAAAACGTTAAGTGAAAATTGAACTGTTTTTATTTCATAACTAATGTTAGCGGGTTAAATCGAATCTACGCATTCCATCACTATTCAATCGATGACTCGTGCACTTCACTACGATCTGTCACTTGACTTTCGGTATTTTCGCGCGTATATCAATGCTAAATGTTTTCTTGTTCAAGTTTGCTAATAAATGTAGTTATTAAGTAAATTCAGTCTTTATACTAAGGGGTGTAATATAATTATACCTAACAGTTATTCGGTGAAAAATCTCACCACAATAAATATCCCGCAAGATATAAGCGCCTGAGCAGATGGCATCTGCACAATATTGCTTACTTCTCGGAACTAAACTATTAGTTTTTGCTCCGTGTTTTGTGCAGGCTCCATCGATCAACAAGCGAGCGTTTGCGAGATATGACCGAACGTTTTGTGTCCAATTAGAGCCATAATACGCTGCCGGGTTGATATTTTTCCTTATTTCAGTAATAAGATTTGCTTTTACGCTTTATTTTCTTACTAGCTCGTCTTGAGTGAATTACGTTCTGTCACAAAACGTCTATAGATATCGTGCGCCCGGATATTAAAAATAGTTAGTGAAGTTCTAGGTACAGTTTTTTTGTCCCTCACTTAAGAAATTATTGGTGAACCGTATCTTATACACCCGGTTTTTTATTGAAATTTTTAGCTGCCTAGTTGACACTATCTTACCCTAGTCTGTCACCATATCAATAATGTTAACAGCATTGTTTTGGCAGTTGGAGGTAAGATAGACAGTTCCTCTGTGATTGAAGATTCAGGGTAAAGCTCGTTGCCTTCAACTTTCCATAATGTGAGATGCAGGCTCAGGCAGAAGCTCTTGTTCTTCATTGTGGATAAACAAAAGTTGAGTAATCTATTTTTACAATTATTTCACCAGTATAAAACTACATTAGTGACCTAGACCTAGACTCCTCGCAGGCAAAGCCGCAGGCAAGACCTAGTAACAAATAAAACTAATCCTACACAGCACTCGTTGCAGCGAGTCGCGCTCGACGCAATATCATTTTTATGGAGAATTTTTATTACAATCCCGGAGCTTAGAGCGCGCGGGAGTAGAGGACAAAACAACACACATGACAATGCACCAGACCGTCATACGCAATGTTTTTCGTATTGTTTGTTTTCAGGACACTTACCTATATACGGTTTCCACCAAAGCGGAGAGAAGAGGAGAGATCTGAATAATCAATCAGATTTCATTATTTTCACATCACCTCTCCGCTGAGCTTAAGACGTATGTTTGGTTAATAAAACACATCTCTCCTCTTGTCTCCGCTTTTGTAAACTGGGTCTAAGGACCAGGGTTATGAACAAAGCAATTAGTTAGAATCTACACTCCAGAATCAATTCAAGTCTTGAAGTTCACTTTTGAATTTAAACCTATTAAAGACGTATTTGAATTTCAGTGCTCAACTGATTTGGTTGATTATTTTTTCCAGGACTTTTTCCTGAAAGAAAAAAACGGTCGCCCTAATTTTTAAGTATATACGAATATTGTGAAGCAAAATACACGCGAACAACGTCGCGGGCAGACGCTAGTTAACAAATTTGATTTTCTATGGGGCTCCCTCACTGCAGACACAACGTAGCCTAATCAGAAGGGGTCACATTGCGTACCTGGGTATTACACTTGAATATTAATGTTATTCATAAATATTTATGCAGTTCTCATAAATAAGTCATTTTAAAACGAATTCGCACTCACACATACCTAAGTACTAGAGTACGTTTTGATAGTTAATAATAAAAGTAAATATTGAAATAACTTGTTCAAAATATTATACAAGTGCCAATAAAATCGAACAAACTTTGCAAACTTGCGAATCTTGCGATTGAACATGATTCGAAGTAGTATCAGCAAAAAAAAATTGTTTTCCGAAATTGGAAAATATTAACTCTAAAACCGGTTTTTATAATTCAATACAATTTCCCATCACAATGCGCAATGGTCTTTTAATATTACTTCAATGAAAAAAAAAGCTAAAATGATAAATCTGGTCACATAACAATCATTGAAGGAAATCAAAACCTGAACGAAGGCTACTTTAATATAGATAAACTTCACTTTAATTGAAGTGTAATTTCAACACTACGCAAACAATCTATTTAAAGAAATTATATTTTTCAATAGCCACGATTTATTATAGTCTTTATCATGCTGACCGTACTAACTAGTCAAGTCGGTTGCAAACTCGCAATTGCTCCACGAGACGGATATATAGTTTCTGCTTAGTTAGAGCGGGACCGAATGCCGTTTATTTATATTTCTTGTGTGTTTGTTATGGTTATCTATCAGTACCGGTTGCCGGCATTTTGGTACTTAGCGTCAGTTGTTGGTGATCTGTCCGCAATAATGTCGTGCTGTGAGTAGTGTTTTGTTTTTGTTTGTATTCATTTTGAAAATCGAATGTCGCGTTCAGTTGACAGCTCTCGGACTGTAGATATACAGTTTTGTTGCAAAATAAGAACTATTAAAACTACTTAAGAATCATAATGTAATACCAAGATACTGTATTCTTTTTTCTGCATGATTACCTAACTAAGGAGTTAGCGCTGATTAGAGTGTTTTGTTTTTATTTTGTTGTCAACCGCTTTAACTTTACTGTTTTATGTTGATAGTTATGAATGCTTTTTCTGATAGTAAGAAGAGAGTTATCACAAGGTCGTTACAGTACAAATACGGTTTGTTGCAAAATCACTTCTATCGCAATTAAATAAGATTGTTATTATTTTAGCTTCAGCGATTGTAACATTTTTAAATTTTTATTATATTGCGACATTGAATTTGTATTGATCAAAAATTTTGTCACGTCAGTGAATAGTTTTGCTTGTTATGTATTCCAACCAAGTACTAGTTAGTCCGTCTGGAAATATACATAGGTCATAGGAACATACTTAACACTGGGTTTTAAGTAATACCCAACATAAGACTTTTAGGTAGGTAATGGTGACTCTATTATTTTCATGTATTTTTATGAGTTACTGTGGAATAACTAAGAAAATTTTCATTTTACGAGTAAAACATGGCTTTATCACACAATATTATACTCAGATTTTTTACACGCAAAAACTAAACACAGGGAACATTTTTGCGGGCACATTTTTCTCGCCGTTTCTTTACAATATTCACCCACGCTGCATTACGGTTTTTATCTTGCAAACCCGTCCCAATATGACACCCCTTTACACTTATTTGTCAGCTGTAAGAAAGTTATTCATCCGTGTCATATGATAAGCGAAATAAAGGAGCCAGCAAAAGGTCACAGTAAAAAAGTTGGCTTAGCGCGACCCGGATTTGTGTGATGGGTTCCGCACTAATAACATTTTCTTTTTCCTTTTCTGATATTATTTGTCAAAGCACATGCTTTCCGTTTTCTTTTCTGCGATGCTTGTTTCTTATTGATTCGATTTGCCAAAAATATCGTATCAGAAAAGTCACATTGTTCAGATTGTTTTGCTCTCAGAAATCTTATCTGTAGGAGATAATTAGGTACTCATCTAAGAGAAGACATACAGATATCGTGTATTATTTAAGGAGTCTTTATCTTTTGTGCAACTAGCCTCTGCTTGCGGCTTAGCTCTCGGAATATTTTTAAACTAAGTTTCTAAGACTTTCTAAGACTAAGTAATCACTAATTCAATTCCCATAGAATCTTTCTACCCCCATTTTACCCCCCTAAAGTTTACGATGATTTTTTAGCTTTTAAGCCTGCGATTTCCGACATGGTCAATCGTCATCAAAATGTTTTGTATGTTTTTAAAACATACCATAATAAAACACAGACGTAGCTCCTCCTGTCTCATTTATAATATCAAAATAGATTGCGCATTTGCCCTTCACCTCAACAATGACAAATGACAATCGCCTTTTTTCCCCACCTGAAGTTGCAGACCTCTAAAAAGTGTCAGACACATCAAGCCAACTGCAATTTATCATTCGAGCCCGGGGCGTGACTTCAAAGGCTCAAACGAGTCCCTCAAACGAACCCCCGGCTTTAATCTTAGTGTTTAGATAAAAGTTCTCAAAGAAAATTCTCTTGGAGCAGTTGTCAGAATATTAATCGCGATGGAGTTAACAAGTTTTTTTGAGGAAACATCCTTGTGCCTTTTGAAACTGATTTTATCTGTGTACACATAATTTATCTGAAAGCCAGTACCTTTTTGCCTAACAAGGTTTACTTATTTATATTCATGATTCACACTTTTTACTAAAAACGCGTCCTTATTTGTCAAATGAAATGGAATTATAACTCAAATTCAGTCAACGATCTGGTGATCTGGAAGCTCTTATTTACTTCATGATCACTAACCAGGGTTTTAACGAATTACACATTATGTCGAAATCCTACTAATATTATAAATGCGAAAGTTTGGATGTCTGGATTGTTTGTTGCTTTTTCACGCAAAAACTACTGAACGGATTTTGATGAAACTTTACAGTATTATTGTTTATAACCCAGAATAACATATAGGCTATAATTTATGAAGATCTGTGACAAACTAAATTTCACGCGGGTGAAGCCGCGGGCAAAAGCTAGTACGATATAAAGAAAAGTTTGCTTTTATTTTTCATTTTTACCATTCTGCTTAAATTGAAAGTTAAGTAGGTACCAATGATCCCTTGCGCAAAAACTACACTGAATTTGGCGACTTCATAATGATCATGTTAAAATCATGAATTCTTTCTACCACGATGAAAAGTAAAATACAGTTACTATCACGTATTTAAAAGTATATTTTTTATGGAACGTATGTATGCAATACATACCTATAAAACAGTCATGGTCACTGGTCAGTAATCCGATGGTGGAAATGTAAAAATATAGCGCCAAATAAGTCCAAAAATCAATTTCCCAGCTTTATGAATGACACGCAATTATCCACAAAGCCCTAGCGAAGGAACGCCCACAAACAATGCCCATTGATGGGATTATCCGGCACAAAGGAGTAATTTATATGCAGGCATTACCTGACGTGATTACTAAATTGTGAGGGTTGTCGTGTTTGCTACCCCACCCTTGTGCAACGGATAATAATGTTTTGATGCCTATCGACGATTTATTGGAACTGACAGACCTTTCCCTGGGCAAATTTATTTTCGCGCAAAAATTTGTTCTCGGACGAAAATAGGAAAATGAAATTACGGATTATTGTTTCTGAACGTTTCGACGCGATTTGATTCGGATGAAAATGTTTGGGTTGTATAAATCTATATTGAGAGTTGTGGGTTACCATTGGCGTGTATTAGTTTTATTTTGAGGTTGGCAATACATTTTTTAATCAATTTTCTATATACGTCATGAGACTCACAGGTGTTGATCAATTCGTTTGAATTTAGTTTGCGTGAGTCATCGTATTTATTATTTAATTTAATCATCCTTCGATTCTATTCCTATAAATCTATACTTATAATAAATCTGTAGAGAGGTCAATTCTGTACATGAAATATATTTTCAAAATAACTATCAGGGGGTGATTAGTGATCGATACTGATGCCAAAAATGCAATCAGTAAAATTTTTGTCTGTCTGTCTGTCTGTCTGTATGTTCCTTATAGAAACAAAAACTACTCAACGGATTTTAACGAAACTTGGTACAATTATTCTTCATACTCCTGGGCAGGTTATAGGATACTTACGAATTCCCACGGGAACGGGCATTAGCGGGAAAATCCTTTTGTATGAAAAATCTAAACCGCTTAAGTTAGACGCTTGAAATTTGGCAAGCAGGTACCTTAGTAAACTTAAAGCTTAGTTACAACAGGATATTGCAAAATTCTCACGGGAACGGGAGTTAGCGGGAAAAAACATTTGTATGAAAAAATCTAAACCGCGTAAGTTAGACGCTTAAAATTTGGCATGCAGGTACCTTAGTAAACTTAAAGCTTAGTTACAACAGGATATTGCGAAATTCCAACGGGAACGGGAGTTAGCGGGAAAAAACATGTGTATGAAAAAATTTAAACCGCGTAAGATAGATGAAGGGGGTAAAACGGGATCCACGCGTACGAAGTCGCGGGCGGCCGCTAGTAAACAAATAAAGTTACAAGTTTTAATGGATTTATCGCTCTATTAGCAGCAAAATCGCAATTAACTAGCGAAATTCTATTTCCAACTTCACAGAAAACGCAACACTGAAACTATCCGACTAGAATAGTGATGCGCCGTCTCTAATTGAAAAACTAAGAAAATTAAAACTATTTCACATTAATTCGTTATTGGCAGGCGAGGGCCCTGGTTACGCGTCGCCGCTGGACGCCTTCAAGAACGGGCCGAGGGAACAACTTCTGTACGTGATCTGCGTGCAGCCAGACCAGAGCAAGCAAGACTATCTGGCCACCGTCGACGTGGACCCTAAGTCGCCGACTTACAGCCAGGTTAGTGTCGATATCGATATCGGATAGGTCGTAGCTTGACAGCAATATATTAGGACACGGCAATACTTTATCCGAACAAACTTGGCAAGTAAGGCTGAGTTGCACCACCTAACTTTGACCGTAACTATATCGATAACCGGTGTTTTTTGTAGAACGGGAGTTTGACAGATTTCTGACGTTTGTCAAAGTTAAAGTAAGATGGTGCAACCGAGCCTAAGAGAAGAAAACCTTTAAAAGTACTATGGACAGCACATCAAATGGTCAAACTATACTAGGATATTTTTGTTGCAAAATACAAGTATTACTACAAAAGATGCTGCAATATTTCTTGGAAAGCAGATAGCGTAAAAACAGGAAAATAAAACAAACCTCATCCCACTGTGGGGTGAATCAGGCCAAGGTGTAAAGTAACCTTGCTGTCAGATGTTATGAAACCGCCCTCAGGCGTATGGCTACGCTTAGTGACTGACTTGCTTGCGATGAATGCTTTTTTATGTTCGAAATGGTCACCCATGGATCGAGCGCGTCATTACATACCTTTTGGCCAGCTTTATACCAATGCGGAGAAGAGAAGAGATGTGTTTGAATAAAAAGTCAGATTTCCGAACCGAAGCTATTATGAGAGGTGATGCGGAAATAATGAAATCTGATTCATACACATACACGTAAGTATTATCTCTCCTCTCCAGTTCTCCACTTTGGTGGAAACCGGGCCTTAGTGATCGACATCAAAGCGCTGCAGTTACAGTGGCTCTGTATACATACTTATTATGTATAGTTCAAAACTTTATTTAAAGTATACTTACCACATTATTCCTTTATCAGACAATATCCAGCCATTTAAACATCCATCCCCAGTCTCCCGAATCCCTAGACAGTCGCAAAATCCCCGAGACGAATTGCATACGCCTGTTAATTTAGTTGAACGGCGCTGCAATGGCAAAGTACGCAATAATACGCGTCCCAGATCCTGCAGGATTACCGCGACGTTATTGCCTCCCGGCGACGCTAAATGCCGGACCCTGGTTTTTATTTGCTAATACGGATATAGCGCAAATTGCGTTCAGACAAATTGTACGGCATATCACGTTAAATATCGTGGCCTTATTTAGTTGTATTATGGGAGAGTTGGCATAAAAATGTACAGTTTGATCTGACGACAACTATAACTTTAAAATGTTAGGTTTGATTCAAAACTCAGGATGATAATGCTCCTGAATAATGGAACATTTTCTTATGGTATGTAGTTACTAAGATATTATGAATGAGTAGGTACTAATGAATATAGGAATTTTTGAAATGAGACCAGTACTTAATCGAAATCAAAATACGAGAAATTTTAGACACAGCTTAAAAAAATTATTATTGACAAAATGTAATGTGATAGCTTTTCGTGTAAACTATTCATAATTTTCATGTAGGCATAATGTGTTTTTCAAGGAAATTCTTGAATCACAAGTCACATTTGATCGACTTGATGAATAATATAACATTTATTGTTGGGAGTACTACTTACTTCTTTCTTATTCGTTACTCGTGGTACAGACGACAGCACACTAAGCTAAACACTGTAGCATCTTATGTCGTCGGAATAGGTCCCATTTTGCAACAAAAATAAATAGTCTGCGCTGTTCACTGTACCAAATAAGTTACGGCATCGCTTTTATCTCCCACTACTGACATTACGAAAATTCAATATTTGTGAGATACCAGTTTTTCTAGATTTCAATGTTGATCTCGAAAAGACTAAATATCGTTTATCTACAGAACCTTAGATTAATAAAACCTAGATAGATAGTCAGTGCACGAAAGGTGAGGCAGATTTTAGTAAGCCAGAATGGCTTACTCTTAAACGTCACATGAACTGTCAAAGTGAAAAATTGGTAAACACGTCCGACGACTTTTAATTAATTAAGACGGTTTGTGCTGTGAAAGGGTGTCTAAATACATCAGAAAAACTAAAGAAAGTGACCAGTGTTACATTTCATAAGTAAGTACTACGATTCGACGCGTATTTGGCTTTCAAAAATTAAATACGGGAATGATACCAGTAACAAGAAAATTTATTTCCCAATTGTTCGCCGTACAAATACACTTCCTTTTTTATGAAATCGAGACTTTTAAGTTGATTTATCTTATTGTAATTAGGTAGGTACTTTGAATTCAATAAATAAGTAAGTACATGATGCGTTTTGTTTTTGTTAGTTATAAAATAATTAAAAACGTATTAAAAATTTCCCTACTTTCGGGAAAATCGCCTTCACTATCTACACTCCCCAACAAAATTGACACTAATGACATAAGATTTTTGCCTCACTCTTGATGAAGCGTTTGTATGAAGACTATCCATCTAGGTTTTATTAATCTAAGTACAGAACATACTAAATAGGGAAGTGTATTTTTTCAAAAGGAAACATTCTGATTCCCAGAAACGGAGAAGCGAGAGTTTTCAGAATAGGATCAGTGTTTTTAGGGATTTTCTTATACAAACACATTTAACTGCTTAGCTACTTACAAACAACTTCATCTTTTTACGGTGTTTTCGTACAGATAGGTGTGTATGTTTAATTTAGGCTATTATAATTACCTACTTATTTTACGTCGAATGTTTGTCTTTAATTTAAAGCTAATCTGATAGACTCAGTTCTGTCAATTCAATTTTCTTTATTTTCGGGTACATTTATTTCAAAACATTAAGCGATACATAAAATAATGTCAAATGTTAAGTCTTTTTTCGTATAAATTGTAACAAAGGAGACCTCCTTGAAAAGCTAAATGATCCTTAAACAGCTGGTGAACTATATGAGAGATAAGCCAGCTTGATATAGTATCTTAGATATATCGTCTATGTATGTACAACATGTTTGTCTATGAACGTACATCACAGATTACAGAAACTAAAGGGAGATGTGAAAAGGGGGCGGGGCCAGTGTCGCAGCAATATGCGCAAAAACAGAACACATTGCTCGCGACAGCAATGTGCGACTGGGTTTCGAACTCAGCGCATTAGTTGGCATCTCTCTAGATCTCTATGATGTATGACAGGTCATCCACCGCACCTACACTGGAAGAAGTGGAGACGAGCTCCACCACAGCGGGTGGAACGTCTGCTCCAGTTGCCATGACAACAAGGACCTGAAGAGGAACCTCCTCATCATGCCAGGGCTGTCCTCTGGCAACGTGTACGCTGTTGATGTCGGCACTGAGCCTAGGAAACCTAAGATTTTTAAGGTAAGGCTTAGAATAATGTTAAAGTTAACTTTATACACAATGAACGCACCACAATATTATGCTTAGGCTGGGTTGCCCCATCTTCCTTTAACTAACGTCAAAAAACACCGGTTATCGTTATATTTACGGGTAAAGTCAGGGTGAAACTCAGTCTTATGAGATCTGGCAGACTACAGACTTTTTTATCGACCGATAGTTTGGTCAGCTTCTAATTTGTATGAGGAATCGGTGTAGTGTGCCTACTTGCACATTTGTTCGAAATGATTAACAGTCCGATCAAATTATCTGCCGACAAAAAAGTCTATAATCTGAAGGGATACATGTTCAAACAGGTCAAGTACTTTTATTTAAGCTGAAAGAGGTACTATCCAGTTAAATTAAGTTTGCATCTAGTAGCCGCATGCCTACGGTATACAGACCCTTGTGTGCTTTAGCTTACTTGTTTGCCAGGTGTCAAATTAAATCGGGTAGTAGCCCTAGGTTGTGTACTTACTGTGAGCATAAAATTAAGAAGCATTAGAACTACGAATAATAGTCATACAAATGCATTGTTTGTCATACGATCAGAAGATCAGATTTGATTTTGTATGTGAAACACTTTATAACATTATAGTTTTTTTGTGTGTGCAATAAAGATTTTAAATAAATAACATTTTGTTACTGATCACGATTAAATAACTCCAAGAAGTAAGCAGACTTTCGTCTTTTATCTTTTTGGTTTCTAGAATACCATTTTCACTTCATGATTTTCATTTTAGTGTAGCTTTGACACTGAAAATATATTAATCTGTGATTTATCGACTAAAATTGATCGATAAACAGTGTCTAAACGGAGAAACTACCTACTACCATAAATTGCAAATGAGATCCCACCAAAGTATGTACCTCAAACTAGCACAGCTAAGTATATCGTTCGTATTTTGTTTATGCGCCTCTCGTAAACCTGAATTTTATGTCAACGGATCGGCGAAACTTTTTTAATTCCTCGCCTTATGCGTCAGCCTCCCCACGACACCCGACTTTATTACACTAGCCCTGTAATTTGTTTGTTGCGAAGAATAACAAGTACTGGAGAAGAAGTTTTATAAAATACTAGCGGCCGCCCGCGACTTCGTTCGCATGGATCCCGTTGAATTAGGGGTTGAATTTTGCAAAATCCCGTCTTAGTGAGCACCTACGTTCTAAAAGGGTTCTCCCATGCAAAATAAATTTGAGACTCCTGGCACTTGTAGTTTTTGAGATTTTGTGATGAGTTAGCCAGTGACATTTCGCTTTCATAGATATAGATAGATAGATATCGAATAAACTTTAAGCCTTTAAGAAGAGTCAGCCAATGATATGGCGTAATTTTGGTTGTTACCTCTAAAGAAAGTTTTCTATAGTGTATTAGTATGAATGAATGAGTAACGAACTAAGTCATAAAATTAACATAAACTTTACAATGAAATGAGTACATTAGTATACTTTGGCATGATTGAAACAAAGTTACAAAGAAACTAATTGCTCGTTGAGGTTTTGCCTTCAAATGTTCAGGTGTAGATAAATGGACCCTATTTTGTTTTAGAAGAATGTGCAGTCTTCTGTACATGTAACATAGAGAAAATGTTTCTGGTGCTATACGTTGTACTTTTTATAAAAAACTTATAGCCCGTATCACGTTGCAAATATTTTTAATGAGAATAAAGTTTACATTATCCGAAGTTAATCTTCAATGTAAACATTAATAAACAAATGTATCAAAGAGCCCTTTTGAAGCGAAGTCTTTGGAGCGAATTCAATTTGCGGGCTTATGAAAAATTGGTATTTACTCGTTTTCTGCTCATAAGCTGGAAAATATGTTAACTCGTGATGTAGTCAAATATTTAGGGCGAGTAATATTAGAATTCTTGTGATCGTTTGATCTTAGCTGAAAGTATGTAGACCAATCGAAATTCTAACACTCGGTTTATTGGAAAAATAATACGTACCTACGTAATACGTATAAAGAAAGCACTTGTAATAAAATAGAAGTGAAGAGAAAAATTTAGCGTCGCTTTATGAAATGCTTGAGTCGATCATATTTGAAATAGAAAATATTACGATTATAGTGGATTTCATATTATTTTTGCACTTCGTTCACGACTCGACTTTTCTTTATTACATTTTATTTATTCGCGCGCTCTAGTAGTAACAAACAAAACGACCGTGTTACTTAATTTGACTAAAGCGTACCTATAGTCTGTTTAGTTAGGGCTCGTAGAGTTACAAGCACAGAACATAGGTTACAAGCTTGGCTTTTCGTGAGACAAAAATAAACATTTTACATGAAAAAGTTTTTAGTGGAATTAAATTAAGTAATATTATCACCATAGGTTAGTATTTGGCTGTGATATCGTCGTTAACACCATAAACAGCAAGAATGACGGTTGCCCAAATCCATCACAATAATCATAGAGCACAGTTCGCAAGTGATATTTCGTTCAGCGAACTCATCGCAAGTGCGCCTAACTTGCCGGGCCGTCTAGCAGCAGAAGTTCGCAACTCGTTATTGGCTGTTAGCCTTTTCACACTTTTAGGTTCAGTTTAGAGATGGATTTGGGGAGAATATTTTAGTCTGTAGAAGAGAGTGGGTATACTCAATCCCTACTATCCCTACAATATTATAAATCCGAAAGTAACTCAAACTGTCTGTTACGATTGAATGCCTAAATCACTGATCTGATATGATGATCTGTGGATAGTTTGAGTCCCGGGGAAGGACATAGGATAGTTTTATCCCGGTTCTTGAAATAGTTTTTCTGTTTCACACGGGCGAAGCCACAGGCAAAAGCTATAATGTGTAAATAAACGATTTATCTATCAGTATCTAAAATGTCATGCCAGAATTATTATTCACAAATGTGTAAATCCCGGGCTTTCGTCAAAAGGGACAGAAAATTAGATTATACAATCAGTAAACACCACGGTATTTGAAAAGACCGTCTCTGTGATGGCTCACATAATTGATAAATAATTCAGAGAAGACTTAATACCGAGAAAAATCCTTCCTTAATCGAATAATCAAGTTTCATTATTGCAAGCCTTAATGTTTCAGGAAAAACTTATTTATTCCGGAAATGCCTGAAGATAGAATAAAATAATTAAGAATTCTCTCGGGGAAATATGTTTTCCTTGTATGAGAAAATCCGTTTCCATTTTATAACAATTAACGCGTAAGAAGTTAAGACGAAATAAACAGACCTCGTTAACAAAACATAAAGGATCCCTGAAAAGCTATTAGCCGGAATGTATTCTTAGGCTAGGTTGCAACATCTTACTTTAATTTTAACAAACGTCAAAAATCTGTCAATCTCCATACAAAAATCACCGGGTATCTTATAGTTACGATCAAAGTTAGGTGGTGCAACTCAGCCTTAGTTAGTTCCTCCGAATTGGAGATTTGACTTTATAATATTTGTTTTTGGGGTTAGTCTTATGGACTCTACATCAAACCCGCCGACAACCCGGCGGCTTGGTGTCGGCAGTTTTATTTTAAAAGAATCATTGCGACAACTTGAACTTTCTATGACAATAATGTCCCAAGTCGTTGACTCATGTCGGCGGCTTTGGTGTGTAGACAGCACTAGATACCTACTTTTAGATCAGCATGTTGTGTTAACCACACTATAAAGATTGTGAATTCGTCTTAGTCTATCGCCCGCATTCACAAACGATACTTACTTAATCCTTCAAGGCCCGCGAATCTAGACACAATAGATAATCAATTGTTATGACATTAATGAATGCCGTCTGGGACTCAAGCGGTTAAGTGAAACAGCAAATCGAACGTACAGCGTTAAATAGAGCTATGTGATTGGTTCGTGCGTCTCCCTGTGCGTCCACGCGTACTGTGAGACCTCATAGTAATGTTTGTGAATACGGGCGTATCTCACTTTATAATTCTACGAGTACACAATCACGCAGTAAAAGTTACGCCTATCTACTATCCCCCTTATCAATCGTTCATGGCACCGAAAATCTCATTACTAGGTTATAGATGGAGCGGAGATGAGGTCATTCAACTGTACCTTCCCCCATACGACCCACTGCCTGGCTACAGGAGAGATCATGATATCAACGATGGGAGATAAGGAAGAAAACGGGCAGGGTGATTTTGTGCTCATCGACTCCAAGACATTGGAAGTGACAGGTAAATGAAATGTCATTTTGGCAGAAGATCAAAGGAACAGTAGGTAGAATCTCTTAAATCGTTTATTTTTACAGGGACGTGGACGAAGGGGCCGAAAAAAGCGAAGTTTGGTTACGATTTTTGGTATCAGCCGTATCACGATGTCATGGTGTCGTCCGAGTGGGGCACTCCGAAATATTTTAAGTCGTAAGTTAAATAATAAAATTGTTTTTGTCATTCCATTATAAACGAAATACAATTTTTAAGCCAGAACTTATCACAAAGTGTCAAAAGTAGCTTTGTATTCGTTTCATTACCATTTCCATCTTGTTTTATAAAAATACAGTAAAATTCTAGTTTCATTTTTAAGGGCATTATTAAGACAAATAGGGCGTTACCAATGTTAAATGTATTTTGACTTTTATACGAGTCTATTATCTGTCCACTTTCAGCAACTGTTTTAAATGTCATTTATTCTGCCGCCTCTTTGGCCACGCGACCCTGGCCACTAAGAAAAACTAATTTATTTTTTCATCGGCGAATAACGATATTCTTTTGTTTCCCTCTCGCTCACGACCCTAGTGTCGTCGAAATAATTCGAGGAATTATTTTCCATAACTCCGACTTCGTAATTAGCAAAATAATACTAGGTAATTGTGAATTATTATAGTCTGGTTTTTACCCATGTATCTTGAGTATTAGTTATAATAACTTAAACAGTAGCCTGACGAGCCACTGTTGAAAATGATTTGATAATCGACCCTTGACTGACCCTTAGCACGAAACTTTACAATCACAAATTCCACTTTCATAATGTAACCTTATCTTACTTCCATCCAGTGGCTTCCACCCTGACGACGTAAGCAACTCCGACCGCTACGGAACAAGCCTCAACGTTTACAAATGGTCAACGCGCGAGCTGCAACAAGTTATAGATTTGGGCAAAGAGGGAACAGCGCCCTTAGAGATCAGATTCCTGCACAACCCTAAAGCCGACGAAGGATTTGTAGGGTGCGCGGTCGAAGCCAATGTATACAGGTAAGATTTGTAAGGATTTAACTAACAGACGCTGTAGAGCTGTAGTCTGGTACAGTGTTTACTGAGGAACTATATTACAGCTTCTAAGCCACTCGATTGTAAATGTTTCAATTAGATATTTGTGTATTTAACATCATCTAAAATAGTAAGACACGGGTCTTAACGCGACGTTTATTAATGAAAATTTAGTTGAAATGGAACGCGAAAGTTTAAAATCTTATGTTTAACATCATACCTAGAATTTTAATTACATGTAGGTATGCGAACCTTTTTAAAACCACTAACAATTATACTTGACCTTCACTGGTTGAGTTTTTATAGGCAACAAGATCGTAGGGAATAGTCCTGGTGACAATTAAAACTAACAACTGAAAACTATCATCGAGGCTGAGCGACAGTTGTGAATTTTGTTGCCTTTAAAATCGGTAAAGGCTATCTAAAAACGAAATATTAGTATATAGGCACATTCCTAATCTCAAAGGGACCAAATAACGTGACATTACTTAGAATTAAGCTGTAATAGATCAGCCTGAAAACTTCGACTTTCTTTTAGGTTCTACAAATCCGCAGACGGAAAATGGAAAACAGATAAGGTTATCGATGTGCCAGCAAAAAAAGTGGTTACTAAAGACGGCGTGGAAGACCTTAACGGTAACTTTTTTCTTTTATTTACTTTAGTTTATCCAACATTAACTTTTGGCCGGCACAATTTTGCTACATAGTTTCAGCCATTTGCTATCACGGAGAAAACTCGCTTTTTCTCTGTAGTTTTTGTAGCGTTATTTTTGGTTTACACTTACCTACACGACTTTTTTACGTTCCTCTTTTAGTTCAGTTTAGTTTGATTATTTAAATTATTGTGAATAAACAAACAATTTGTTAGTAACGTGAATGAAACGTTTAATTAAACACATTCCCATTTTAAATCCGTATTGATGAAAAATTACTGAACAAGGTGAAAAATACATAAATTCACTCACCTATGCCGTTACGACATTAACACCTTAGTTTGATGAGGATAAGATATTGTGATCATTACTTATATGAACTTAAAATTCATTATTATGAAGTCTAAAACACTGTTGTAGTAACATTGTGCAACAACGGTTTGTTCAAACAAACAAACTGCTAACAACTTCCCCAAGAAAATTACTATTCAACGCTGCAATACTATCCGAAAGCGTGTGTTCTACGTGATATGCATTCCCTGGTGCCAACTACAGTGAGAAGTCTCCTCACTTCTTGCTCCATTTCATTCCTACCCTTTGTTCGTGGTAACATGACAGTTCCATTAACTTTTTCCTCTAGGTTTAATGTCAGACATAATACTGTCTTTGGACGACAAGTATTTGTACTCTTCGACCTGGCTGCATGGAGAGGTGAGGCAATATGATATATCGGATACGAAAAACCCGAAGTTGACCGCACAGTTAACACTTGGTGGCCAAGTGGTGGATGGGAACTGCACGCTGGTGGATGGAGTGAGTATTGAATTTGAACCTTTAGAAATATGCTTTGTAATTTAATTTGGATTGTGTCTACAGTAGGAAATATAATCTTCATCGCTACACAAAAGAGATGTGGTAAGGTATTGTTCGATGATTATGAGAAGCAAATGAATTTCCAAGAAAATTGCTAAGCAGCCTTATAAATTCTTTTGATATCTTAAACATGCGTGTATGGATAAGCTGAATTAATCTTGAGATTTTACTCATTTTTGCACATGCTTAAAATGATTTTACCTACATTCGGATATCATTTACTCAACTGCACTGAGCAAAAAACAGACTTAGATCTGTATCCTCCATTTTATTTCTTCAACAGAAAAACTTGCAATAATTTCTCCTAATGGATGCCTTTTCCTAGATTGCTCTAGAAGAATTCCCGTAGTGCTGGGAGTGGAATTCCAATTTTCGGATCCAGTAATCCCTCAAATTAATGTTTCATGACTTTACACAATTACACTTTCGCCGTGTCATTATTTTCATTTAAGTCCATGCCCTCTCGCCAAATTACTTTCTAATGCCTTCCTGGTTGTTCATTCCATTTGCAGTTATTGTGTTTGTTTTCAGAAAGAATTGTTTGAAAAAGTTCAAGCATTTGTTTCTACCAGTGTTAGGCTAACACAAACGATCGTGTTTGATGGGGTTGTCGTGTCCTAATAGACAAAAGCCCCCAAATAAATAAAGATTTTAAAAAAGTTCGCGTGACGTGAGCCAGGCAAGACACTATTAATTTAGCAACGTAAAGATTTCACAATAAGAGATCGACGTTGTTCAACTATATTAACCCCCATGCTTAACACCAATTAATTTCTGTCAAGAATGATTTCAACTCATTATTTTACTTTATCAGGATCATGTTAGCAACAATGCAAGGGCTTATCAGTTTCATTTTAAATGACATTGATGCACTCGAATATTTTTATCGCGTTGAACTCATGATGAATGTTATCTTATTTTTTACATCCGAAACGATACTTTTAGTAAGTAGGTACTTTGTTAATGTTTACAATTTCTTGAAATACATTTTATTAAATCCGCAGATGAATTTCAACGATTGTGACGTACATGATACACAATCAACTTACATAATAATCACATCTATTACACAAGAAAAGACCATCATACATTCCAGCAAAAACATTGTTGATAAAAACAAAAACAATGTCGAATGTTTACACCTAATTTCATTAAATATTATTGTATTATTAAATTAATTAAGCTGTAATTGTCATGGCGACGGATTGTTTGCTGTCACAAGATAATGAAATAATTTTGTTATTATTTTCTTTTGTGATAGGATTCAATCCGTTACATTGACAATTACAGCGATAAACCTGTTTGTTAAACTCATTTGTTGCTGTTTAAATATGTAACCAAACAAAATTGATATCACACGTCTTATCAACCTCTTTTTCAAATACAGGAGCCGCCAAAACCAGTGATTGTAAAAGGCAAGCGACTGTACGGGAGCCCCCAAATGCTGCAACTGTCGCTTGATGGAAAACGACTCTACGTGTCATCGTCTCTCTTCTCGCCGTGGGACAAGCAGTTCTACTCGAAGATGGTGGAGGATGTAAGTTGAACTCTTATAAAGAAACAATAGTTTCCAAAATACATTATTACAGGGTGTATGTGATGTTCTACCCTACCATTTAAACCACAACTGTCAAACCACACATGTAATGCAAATAAATGATTTTATTTGATTTGAAATATAACTTCATTTTCATCGGACAATCTTTCGCTCGTCAGTCCCGATATCAATTCGAAAGTCACTAAATAAAGTTTCCGAATATACGAGAAATAAAAAAAAAACTTTAAGTCGGTTATAATCAGACTTGTCCCGTTCAAGATGCATTAAAAAAGAGAATAACGAGAGTGACTTATCTACTATGAATCAGTCATCATCATCATCATTTCAGCCATAGGACGTCCACTGCTGAATACAGGCCTCCTCCAATGATTTCCAGATTGATCGGTTGATAGTAGCCTCCATCCAGCGCCTTTCTTTATGTTTTCCGTCATCTGTCTTGTCTGTCCACTTTGTGTTTAAAATAAATGAATATTTTCATGTATCTACTATCTATCGGTTGTTAAAAAGGACAGGCCTTTAGTTACAAAGAACCCAAACATTTTTTCTATAAAACCGTTCTAGTCCAGTCATTACGTACATTCAAAAAAGAAAATGAATTTGCGCTTCTAATTTTTTAATATGTTGTAGGGGATACCTAGAAAAGCTTAACTTGAGATTGTCGACCAAGCTTTCCTAGGAGCTTTCGCCGCCATGTTGAAAAAAGGGGTAAAATTTGTTTTTCGGCAATAACTCGGCTATCCGATGAGACTCGAAAATTTTTGTAGGACACTTTTTGTAGCTTTCTTTGTGCTCTACAATAACGCCCGAACCATTTTTAGCGTATCATGCATCGTTATCGAGATATCGATCGATAAAGTCAAAAATTTTGGACACAAATTATTTCGGAATAATTAAATAATTAACGTCAGATACGTACAACATAACTTCGAAGGAAAGGTTGCAATCATATTCGACGGTTATCCGACTGATATGACACTCGCTGGAACGAAAACTTCGGAAAGAGTACGACGTTCGAGAAAAAACCAATCGCCGGAGTTCACATTCGATGAGACAACTACTCCAAAAGTTAGCCAGGAGAAGTTTCTCACAAGGGATCAAAACAAGAACCAACTAATACAAATGCTTTGCCGTTACTTAAAAAAAAGTAATTAAAAAGTAATTAAAAGTAATTAAATTTTACTTTTTACTTTTTAATTAATTATTTAATTATTTCGGAATTTTTCATATTTATTAAGACCCAAAGAAAAAAAAAGAAAAAAACAAAAATTGTGTCCAAAATTTTTGACTTTATCGATCGATATCTCGATAACGATGCATGATACGCTAAAAATGGTTCGGGCGTTATTGTAGAGCACAAAGAAAGCTATAAAAAGTGTCCTACAAAAATTTTCGAATCTCATCGGATAGCCGAGTTATTGCCGAAAAACAAATTTTAAGCGTTTTCCAAGATGGCGGCGAAAGCTCCTAGGAAAGCTTGGTCGACAATCTCAAGTTAAGCTTTTCTAGGTATCCCATACAACATATTAAAAAATTAGAAGCGCAAATTCATTTTCTTTTATTTGCCTTTTTTTCGGACGAAATGACTGGACTATTCTAAGAATATTCCCTTTTGTAATGTAGCTATTTTGAAGATTTTGTTGCCATATAGTAACAATATTTTATATAGAGGACGTCGTAAGTCACCAACGAAATCGGTACCTTGTGTCTTCTTAAATATTTTACGTAGCATTATTTTATTGCGCTCTTATAAAGTAAATATGAAGATATGTAAGAATTTAATATTCAGAACGAGAAATATTCATTTGTATAAACGTAGGTAGAGTTCAGTAGGTACGGGACTATTCCCACCTCTCGTTCCCACCTCTGCAACTTCTGTGTAACCTGAAATAACAACCCAGCCCAACAAAATGGAGTAGGTGGGCAACTTTTTTTTATGTGACAGGAGGCAAACGAGCAGACGATAGCAGCATTAGATAAGAGAAAATTAATTGAAGAAAACTGTAAGGACAGATGAATTTTTTGCGCAGTTTTAGACTCAGTTTTTCGCTTTTCAATATGGTGCCAACACCCTGTGTTAGCAAACTATATTCTTAAACGAAGTAAAACGCCCTCAATCTAGATAAAACTTTATACGGCCGAAGAATACGGGGCCCATAGACAAAGTATTTTATTCGAGCCAACTTTGGTCCCTCGTAGACCGCAATAAACACTCATTACCTCGTATATCAAACCTTCGGCCCTTATTTATACATTTTCCCTTGCAAAGTTATTTCTCTTATAGTATTGTGCAAGACCCGCGTCACCTGCTCCTGAATAATTCATGGAAACCGTGTATTTGTGAAACAAAACAACGGCAATTTTAGAGACAAGTTGTACGCGATTTGGGAACGGGAATCAATGAATTTGACGCTCAAAGAGTTACATTAATGTAAAACGATACCCATTTGTAGAAAACTTACTAGCAATAAAAATAATTGAATTATCTAACACTTACTTGAACGTCATTGAAGGCGCCTTCATCCGCGTAGTTGTAGATCTGTAACAATGTTCATAAAACTATGTATTACCATTCTGTAATCCTACTATCTTTGTATCAGAATCACAAATTAACTATCATAAAATGGTATTAATCTGAAATCGTGAAACATTTTTTTTACTAAAAACTAGTTATGAAAAGCTAAGTTTTCTGACAGTTGTTTTCGGAAGGTAAGGTTTTCCTTTGATATTTACATGGATCTCATTAATCAAAAAATTCATGTGACGTAATATTTAATTTTATGAATGGCACAATAGCAACTTTCGTGTTTAATGTTGATCTTACTTGTAAGAAGCATCATCTCTTATTTGTTATACAGTGTGAGTCACGTTAAAGTGTACATAAAATATGAAAATATGTGAAACTAGACTATTATTTGTTGGCATTTTCTGGGTATTTTATGTATTTTTTTAGTATCGCCTGTTATTTAGCATTATTACTGTTTTTATTTTATCAGGATATACCTCTTAGTTTAAAAGTTATTACGTTTTCTTTACGAGAAGTAATTGGAAGAAAAAAAAATCTATAAAAATTAAAAAAAACATCTCAAAAAATTTTTGACCTCTTTTTTCTCGATAAAAATAGGTCTGTTTCACATATTTTCATATGTACACTTTAACGTGACTCACACTGTATTATCAATAAATAATGACACGTGATTGACTAAATGCGACACGACAGTGCAATCGACAAAGCCAGCTAAGCTTGATAATCTAATAATGTAATACATCGCATTTTGATGTATTGGTAATTTTATTGACGGCGCTACTAGGATGGGATTATCGTCAAAATGAAATTAGAATCTATCATAGATAGGATAAATACGCATTACAAGATGTTACCTATTGAAACGTATAATTGAAATGTTTCTTTTTTTTTAAATAGAATAGCAGCAACAACCACAACTTTTCGACTAACATTGCTTTCCATCAGAAAAGATACAGGCAAAAGTGTCTCTGTTCTGATTGGAAAACTGAATAAGTTTCATATTTATTATAGAAAGAAAGAAATAAAGAAATGCACATGTTAAAACCGCTTAACATTCACGTAATAAAAGACTATTCTAGCTTTTTTGTACTTATCAATGACGTTTTCATAAGTCCATTCAAAAATAATTAAACATTGAAATAAAAGCCCTTACTTTCTTCTCTAGGAATCTAGGAATCGGAACCAGAATTTAACTTTCGTCGTTATTGCATTAATTAAATTGCAACTGCATCATCGAAGCTATGAAACTTGTTTGTTTATACAGGGTGGCTGGATAGTGAAGTTGGATGTGGACACAGTGAACGGCGGTATGAAGTTGGACCCTGACTTTTTGGTTCACTTCGGAGGCGAGCCGGATGGTCCGGTGCTACCGCACGAAATGAGGTGAAGTATTGACTTGAAATGCTTTAATTTATACAGGGTGGTCAAGTAAAACTTTATGTTAAGTTGAATGTGGGCACTTGAATGGATTATTTACAGTGATGTTTGATCCAGAATAAGCACTCGAAGTGATGTGAAGCAAGCTTAAAGTATATTTTACGAGAAGATTGAGTGACTTATAATCGTAGTTGCGAATCGAACTTCAGTTTTTTTTGCCTACAAGATATAGGTCTTTAATACCAGTTCTCGTTGTTTCAGATACCCTGGAGGAGACTGCACGTCAGACATATGGCTAGCTAACTAAGTTCAAAATCCGTGGGACTCCTCCATGAGATGATATCTGTATTGTCAATCTATCCTTCTCTTTTATTGAGAGGTGAAAAGAGTGAGAAAGAAAAAGTGAAAATACAGAATTCGCGCTCTGGAGTAGGCCCACTGAGACAAATTCAATGCGTGTGCCAATATTTTTTTACTTATCAGCAGTCGTTTTAAAATTTATAACGTATCCTCTAAAATAAGCTATAATTAAACGTAAAAGTAATTTCATTTTTGTACAAGCTGTATTTAGTATACAAAAATTAAATATCAATTCAATAAACGCCTAGTAAATTATCGAAAGAGCCGCAACTGTTCGCGTATACAAATAAATTACATTCGCATTACCGTGTAAATAAATCAGCACAATAAACTACTGAACCATTAAACTAACGAATTTCGGACATTTTACAAAAGTGGTTTTATTATTTATCATTTCCCTGAATGCAACGATAATTGTAAGGGCCACAGCAGACATGCAACTTTTAGCATCGGCGATTTTGCGACTATATCGATGTCTTGACTTAATGGTCCTATGTCCCCTAGATGGGGCAGAGGACGTCCACAACAGTCCTCCATCGCGTTCGGTCTTGAGCTTCGCGTTGGATCTCGCTCCAAGCAAGTCCTGCCGATCTTCTTCGCCTCGATTGCCACAGTGCACCGCCAAGTTTGCTTGTGTTACCAGTGATGTAGTATGTTCGTTATGTTTCAATAAATATCGATGTAGCATCGTGGTTTCACGACTACATGCGTCCGGACACGGTATCGGAATCGCGCATTTTAGCGGCTGTATTGATTTAGCATAGCAATTTAGCGACTTCATGCATTGGGAGTATTGGGACACAGTATCATTCCACCAGCTTGCACTAAGCGTTTCGACGACTCTTTTATAATGCGAACAGCTAGGGACTAGAATACGCTGCCAGAGTGAATAAGCACTTACAGGGCAGATATGTACCATCCTAGACTGCATCTCACTTAACACCAGGTGCGATTGCGGTCAAATACCTGCCTTGTCCTGCATAAAAAAAATCTGAATCGAGTGTTTTAGAGACTGCTGTCGCTGCGTCGAGCTTCCGAAAAACGACTCAATCGCCGTGTTTTACGTTTCAAGTAGGTAGGTATGTGTGGTCGCTGCATTCAGCTGCTAAAAAACCGCTAAAGATAAAGCAAGCTTGTAAATTGCCGATCGCCGATGCTAGCACGTGTGCTGTGGCCCTTAATGAACACATTTCGCTTAAAATAACGTGTGAAATTCGGGAGTACAGGGACAGGCAAATTGTAGGAAAGCGTGGGCCAAATTAAACAACTTTCAATCTAATTATTTTGACTCTCGTTAGTTGGACTCGCTCAAAATATTCTGTTTCGTTTACTTTAGTACATTCACTAGAAACTTTATATGAATTAATTTTACTAAAACTACGGGCTACCTTTTAATTGAGTTTAAACTTGAAACTATTTCTCTGAATAAATTACCTAGTTGGTATAGAAGAGTGATAAATGATACATTTCATCACCATTGTCAATATGAGTATTTAGATATCATAAAAAATCTTGGTTAGGTGGTAATCGTGGTGACAATAAAACACTGCAACACAGTATCTTAAACAAGTTAGTTTGCCACCCTATATACGTCATAAATCGATGTGATTACCCATAAATTCAGCACCAACTCACTGGGGCGATAGTAGGTAAACTGGCACAATAGGTACCATTCATGGCCATAAAATAAATAACCTGTTCTATTTGCCAGTCCCAGGAGCGCAGTCGGACTTTACGTAAACCTCTTTAGGCGCAGCTTCTTGGTCGCAAATCTTTCACGTCGATACAGGGTGGTTGTTAAAGAATTGCTTTGTTTGCTGTTTTATTGTGCTTAAGTTTTTTATGTGCGGCAGTTAAAAGGTTTCAGGAAGTTATTAAGATTAAAAGAAGATAGGAGTTCTGTGTTCTAAGTAAATAATTTTGTTTTAAGAATCTTCGCTAGTTTCTAAATGTATAAAGATGTGGTGTGTCTTAAGACGGACGAGTCCCGAGGCGACGAGACAAAAATAATCTACAGACAGTAGGTACTTCAAGTAAGTATTTATCTCTGTATGGGTTATGTATGGACGATAGCAGATCAAGGTAAAGACGGTACTATCTCATAATGTTCTAACAATAAGGTGCTATTTAAAAAAACCTAAATTCAAAAGAATCGCATCCTAGCAAACCGTACGACATTTTTTTTTCCAAAAGTAAGTCAATTAGTCTCGTATAAGAAAAACAGAAGAAGTAAAAGAATAACATAAATATCCATCATCTAATAAACGACGAAAATCCCTTTTGAAATATATTCAGTTGGCAACAGCTTTACCTAGTTCATGCTATTAGTGAAGCAGATAACCAATTTACGGAATGCCTGCTCTTAAAAATGGAGGGTTTGTTACAGCAATTTCAGGTTCAGATTCTGGCACAAGCTCACTTGGCTTAGCGAATTTACATAGCGATTCATTGAGATAACGCCCCCAGCCTGTAACATAGATTATCTAGACTCTCTCCTTAATAGGCATCTGATGGTAAGCTCGCATTTTTATAATCTTTTGGATTGAATTTGCAAGAAAAAATCCTTGTTTGCCTTTAAGAGGTTTTAGAGGCCCTAATCCGTTATCGTATGTGATTTCAAAAGAACAGTTCGCTAAATTGTTGATTGATATTCTTGATCGATATTCCATTTTAATAGCATCTTGATATTCATCATCATCATCATCAGTCTCAAGAGCAGATGATAGCTGGACATAGGCCGTAATAATTACTCATAATGTTTGATATTACGGTTGGTTATGCCAAAGACAATGGGAAAGTATATTTATTCTTGTTCACATTATTAGGAGGAAAACAAAGCAATTGTTATGTGTTGTAGAATCTTGATTAGAAAAGCAAGTATAGTATAGGTATCTCCGAGCAATATCACATCACGTTCGGCCATCTTACCTTCGCCAACTTTAGTAAAAGAGCCTAATACTCTTCAATTACCTCCCTAATTATACTCCCAGAAGCTTGAAAAGGCCAATTCAGAAGGTTTATAGCGTTTTGTAGACCCAAAATCTAATCTTTAACACAGATCGATGCGAATGGCGGAAAATAGAGATTGCTTTCACGATAATGAAAGAATCTTAAAAGGGTCCAGAAAATGTCCAAGAGGCATTAAGGGTACTCGTACCCAATACAGGTCTTTGCAGTAAGAAAATTTAAATATTCATTTCGCTTGCCCCTTTGATAGGCACTTAAGCGATTGGTTGGGTTTTTTATACAGGCTCGTATGCGGGAGACGTCGTTCCCCGGAGATTTTCATTACCTAAGTTGCGACTTAGAGTGGTCAAAAGGTATTGGGAAACTATTAGCGCTGGTCAGATTGCTAGCTGTAATGGTACAAGCAGCGATTTATATTTTATCGGAAAACTGGCCATAATAGTAACACTGTTGCCATTTCTACAATTTCAGCCTCGTATTAGGGTTGTTCTAGTAATATTGCGTGTTGCGAAGCTTTTTGTATTTGATCGTGTGACATTAAAATTCTTAGAATAGAGGCTGCGGCTAGACGGAGATATTCGTTTCTATGGAATACCGCAACGAATGATGCCACGTAGGTACACCATTTCACAAAGTTTGGTAGTTCTACTCGTAATATGCCTAGTAAGATAATCTTCATAATTATTAGAGACAAAACAGAATGTTTATATAGATAAATAATACAAGCTCAACTTTTTAAACTATTCATTTCGTTGGTAACAAGCACATAAGTGCTTAAAATGCAAGGTTATATGAAAGGCAATTTCAGCTCCCTATTCAGGTCCAAACAAAGTGCATATTCCGAACGTGAATGGGGTGAAATTTTAAAACCGCAAAGTGCGTGAGCGCGCATAAAATAGAGGAACTAGGTAGTCGGATGAGATACGCCAGGATGAATAATTTGGTTCTAAAGCCTATAACAAACTGTGGGCTTGAGAAAATGCGACCCTATGGCATGCTGTTTGTAGACGTTTTGACAGCGAATCTGACATAGCTTGGTTCGGAGTAAGACGTGGCTCACGTCATGTCATGTCATTCTCTTGTCCGCTGCTTAACAGAGGAGTAACTGTACATACATCTAAGGCTCGATTCGACCAAACTTTATCCGAGAATAACTCCTGGTATAACTGTGACATTGACAGTTTCAGTATGGGAAATAATAAAATGACAAAAAGTCAAATAACTGACGATTTATTCTGAGATTAATATTTACTCTTGTATGGTCGAATCCACCCTAAAGTGTACCTAGAATGACGGCTAAAATATATTTTTCTTCTACTAGGGTTATAAACATCAAGCATTAACAAACTAAGTACGAATAAGTGAACTAATAGCATTAGTGAAATATAAAATTCTCAGGATCGCTTTTGGGTTGATTATTATGAAATTATAACAAGATTTAACTAAGATAACAAGCACGAGTTGTTCAATTTACAAATGGGTTTTAATTCAATTCAGTTACAAAACTTTTAAAATCATTAAGAAAATTAGACAATACATGACATAAAGAAATTAAACTTTGAAGCATCGGAAAAGCTGTGACCACAACAGGCAAATATTATTTTCTTATTTTATATCAAGCTTGCATTTCTTTGCCAACAAAAAGAAATACACCAGGAAAACATTTATCGTTCAAAACTTATAGCGTTTGTTTTGTTATCTTACCGAAACTGTAGAAATTGAGTTATGAAAGTACCGAAAGATTTATCGTGTCGCCTTATGGCGCACTGGGCAGCTTACAGTGACATAACACAGATTAGACTTGACCTTTATTAACATAGCCAGAAAGTTCACAATTGCAAAAGCAGAAGCCTGAACCAAGAATATAAAAATGTAAGAAGTAACTTAAATCCTTCTAATTTTTAGCAACTTACACAAATGGCCTGTAGACTCCACTAATCTTAAAATGGAATGATAACTTTATTTTTAAACTTTATTTTTAAAAATAAGGTATTTTTGTAGGTCACGGTGACCGATCGCATAATTATGCGACAAATGTAGCCGCACGCATCTATAGCAGTTTTCGAGAGGATTGTATTGGTATTGGTGAGTGTACGAGATAAATCCCACCTCTCTTTTTGTCACCATTGCAACTCCTGTACAGATAGGAGCAATACTACGAGTAAGTCCTCGTGCATTAGGTAAATAGCAAAGTCAGCCGCAATGCATGGAACAGAACAGAATCCATAACTTAAAATAAAACCTCTAATAATTATGGATGCAATAAATAATTGAGTATTGAAGAATATAATTCACAGAACATCTTTATTACTATTACTATTAGTTAATATATATGTATATTATTTTAAAATACGTAGCTCAGAATCA